ACCCTTGCACCACACAGCTTGCGCCACATGGCTTGCACCACACAGCGTGCGCATCCATCGTGCAGAGACTCACTGCTTGGGGCCCACTCTGGCCAACAATTTGCTTTATGTTTATTGTGCGGCCCTGCGAGGTCCGATCGGAGGGATGATGACGATGAGGCAGGAGGGCGCGGCGTTGTATTTTGGCCTCGCTCGTGTGCCCCTCGGCGTACCTGGCGAGCACGTTCTCCAAGGCCGGCGGAAGAAGGCCAGCCTGCCCGTTCGGCACTTGCACACGTGGCGGCGCGCGAATTATAGCGCCGTAGGACTCGGCGGTGGCCGGAGGCTGCCCTGGCCCAAGGTGCCCCCTGGGCTCTGCGCGCCCTTCTGGAGCCCCTGGGGCTCCCTGGGTCTCGCGAAGGTCGACCTGGAGGCTGGGGGCCAGGGCTGGACCTATATGCTGTTTTTCGTTATGTGCTCGTTCTGTGTTTCGTTTCGCTGTGCCTGCTTTCCTGTACCTCCCTCCCAAGACGAAAAACAAAACACAGCCAAAGTCCAGCAAAACAGCGTTCGGGTCCAGCCCTGCTGGGGGCCCCAGGGGGCCTGCCAGGAAACGTTCCCAGGGCCACACCTCGGAGAAGGCGCCCCCCCGCCACCGCCAGACAAGAGCATCCCCTCGTTGGAGCGTCCCTCTCTCCGCCCCCCTCCTCTCGGGGGTGCGTGGGACTCGGGTTGGCCTGACGCGGCCATCATGAAAATTACGAGACCCAATCTGAACTTTGATGCAAACTCCCGCTGCAAATATCCCGCGAGCACTGGCCCGTAAAAAACAAGGACGGGCTCGTCAAAAAGCTTGGGGCAACCCCGAGTTCCGGCGTACTCGAAACTTGATTACGTTTCCCCGATCCCGCTGCACGTACGGAAGGCCTACACACGCACCCAGTCACACGCCGACCGACTGCTGACGAAAGCACGCGGCCGCACTGCGCAAGCATCTCTCGCCCATGCCGTCCGCATGGGCAGCGACCACGTCGCACCTTACCTCGGCGGCGAGCGAGGGGGGAAGTGAGAAGGGGCGGGCCGTCTGAAGGGCGGGCCTTCTCAGAAGGCTCGGACGTCCCCGGGCCTTCCGAGAAGCTCTCAAAGCCTTCCCCGAAGACGCAAACGGCTTCGGAGAAGGCGCGGAGGACTTCTGAGACGTCCCGCGACCTCCTGAGAAGGCCTCCTCCTTCTCACTCCCCCCCTCGCTCGCCGCCGACCACCCTCCAGCTCGCGACAATCGCCCCCCGGGGATGATACGGTTCGGGGCCCAGGGGGGATAACAAACGTCCTTTCTGGGGATCTCATCATGATGATGAAGATGATGACGATGACGATGAGCAAGATGCGCACCGTGCTTGCGCTAGTCTCAGCGCGAGGGTTCGCGTCAGCCTGGCTGACGCACCCGAAACCCTCGAGCCAAAACTATGATGATGCTGCTGCTGCTGCTGACGATGATGATGATGACGATGATGCTGATGCTGATGTTGATGATGATGATGATGCTGCTGCTGCTGATGATGATGATGATGATGATGATGATGATGATGATGCTGATGCTGATGCTGCTGATGATGATGATGATGATGATGATGATGATGATGATGATGATGTTGCTGATGGTCATGATGATGATGCTGATGATGATGACGATGACGGTGATCAAGAGGATCCGAAACGTCCATGATCAAAACAAGCAAAATCCACAGTTGCCACCTTCGGGGCGCTGGGGCAGGGTGCCGGGGAAGCCCGCCGATGTGGACCTCCGCCGGGGCCGCGGCGGGGCCCAGAGCCCCCCCGCGGCCCCCGCGGCGGCTCGTCTCTCCCTGAGCAGGGGCCCCTGCTGATAGGTCCTCCTCCTCCTCCTCCTCCCACCTCCTCCTCCTCCTCCTCCTCCTCCTCCTCCTCCTCCTCCTCCTCCTCCTCCTCCTCCCCCCTCCCCTCCCCCTCCTCCTTCCCCTCCCCCTCCCCCTCCCCCTCCCCCTCCCTCCCCCGGTCCCCAGGGCTCCTCCCCGCGCCAGCATGCCAGCCCGAGGAGTCATTCGACTTTTGGGCGGCCCAAGAGGGGGTCCAGCTGAAAGGGGGTGGTGCAATCCATTTGGGGCCCCCAAATCCTATTGCACCAAACCTATTGCACCACCCCCTTGTCGCTGGACCCCCTTTTAGGTCGACCCGACCCACTGCCCCGGGGGCCTCTGGGAGGGGCCCCTGGAGCCGGCAGACGGCGAAGCAAACGCTCCCCCAGGCCCCGACGGACTTTTTATCCCTAGCAATTTTTGTTCATGGTCCCGGGGCTGGGCAGCTGCCTCGCAAAGGCCGAGCACGGCTGAATACCTTCCGCCGCGGATGTTGTTTCAGGACGCGAGGGGAGGATCTTGGCTGCCACCTTCCCGCACCCCTCCCTCGCTATGATTCCCTCCCCTCCTCCTCCCTCCCCCCCTCCTCCTCCCTTCCCCTTGCCCTCCTCCCTCCCTCCCCCTCCCTCCAGCTGCCGCCCCGGTCCGAGGTGTTTTGGACTGCTCCAGGAGCAGCGCACCTCGCGCCGCCGGGCAGCTGCCATGCGCGCCGGCCGCCTCGCCTCGCCCCTGGCGCTGCTGCCAGGCGAGCCGCGGGCCAGCCGCGCGACACGAGCCCTTCCCGCGGGCTCGCGAGCGGCGCACGCAGGCGCGTGAGGAGCTGCAGGAGGCTACGAGGGTTGCCCGATGGCGTGGCGGCCCGTGCGAGGCTGCCCGATGGCGTGGCGGCCCTCCTGGCAGCGCCAGGCTGACATTCGATTGCTGGGCCCGTCGGCAGCCCGCCGCCTCGCCCGCCGCCGCCGCCGCGACGCGCTCGACGCTTGGCTGCGCGGCACGGGCACCTGGCAGCGCGGCGCCGGCTGGCAGTACGGCGGCGACTGGCACCGCGGCGGCGACTGGCATCACGGCGACGTGGGCGTCAAGCTCCAGCAGCTCGCCGAGGCGGTCCGCAGGATCGAGGATGCCCTGGTGCGCGGCGAGACGCATCCCGACGCCAAGAGCGGGCCGACGCGCCGCGAGGCGTCTCCCGCTGCCGGCATGAACGCCGAGGCGAAGTGGTGCGAGCCGCGGACGGGCCAGGCCGCCGTCGGCATGAGGGCCGAGGCGCCCATGTACGTGCCGCTCCCCGCGACGGCGGGAGTCCCTGTACCCGCGCAGGCCTTGAAGGGCGCTGCGGCGACGGCGGCCACTTGGTGTTGGCTGCCAGAGGCGCTGCCGCCCCCAGCTTCCGCAGCGCCAGTATGGTGGCCTCAGCCGTCGCCTGCTGCCTCGGAGGCTCCGTCCGAGCTGCAGGTTCGTGGAGTTCCTGGTGCTGGACCCGTACCTGCTCGTGGTGTTCTCGTACCCGACCGTGCTGGTCATGCTGGTGTGCCGGAGCTGGTGGCTGCGGCTGCGGGCGGGGCCCGTGCCCGTGATCGTGCTCATGATGCTGCTGCTGAGCCACTGGCGGCTCGCAGGCCGGAGCCGCCGCCGCCGCCAACCGGACCTCCGCCGTTTTCGCCGAGGTTGATGTCATCGTCTTCGGCCCTGCTACGGCCTCCACGAGATCTGCCGCCGCCACCAGCAGCCGACGTTCGTGCGGACCATCGTGGAGATTGCAGGTACGTGCTACCCGCTGCTGCTGCTGCCGCTGGAGCTCCTGGTGGTGTTGGCCACGCCTCTCGTGATCGCGCGCTCCGCCCTGTGACGCGTCTGCCTGCTGGTGCTTTCGGCGCTGGTGCTGCCGAAGCCAGTGGTCATGGGCTTCCGCTGGCCGGGCAGGGGCAGGCCACAGCCGCAGTCGTGGCTTTCGAGGCCCATTGCAAGGCGTCCACACGCCGTGCTGCGTGGGCCAGGCGTCGCCCGACCGCTGTGCGCCAGGCCGAGGCCGACAGCCTGGCCGTGCCCGCGCCACAGGCAGCGACCGAGCGAGAGGCAGCCGAGCGCGCCGCAGAGGCCCTCGACGAGGTGGTCCCCGTCCCTGCTGCTGCCTCGGCGCGGCATCCGGAGGCTGAGCGCGTGGCCGTGCCGGACACCCTGGGACAGCCCGTTGGCTCCCGCGCGGCACGCGATGACCAGAGGAGCCGGAGGATCGGTGACGCTGTCGCTGCTCAAGGCGGCATCGAAGCCGCTGGAGCCGCCATGGTTGCCGCATATGCGGCCATCGGCATCCATATGTAGTACCATAGAAGTGGGATCATGAATGCATGTCAGCGCTCAGGTATGATGTTCCGGCGTAGGCTCGGCACAGCCTCTGACGACGGCGCGTAGAAAATCGTGTTCCTGTGTATCTCTATGCATCTCTTTGTCTGTCGCGAGGGTGCGAAGATGCCTCAGCCTGCACACTGTCCGCGTGGTAACTCCCGCTGTGGTGCCTCCACGCGGCCTTAATGTTATATCCAGCTTCATGCGAAGCAGTTACACTTATGCTGTTTATGTATGTGAGGTGAGGGACCAGGATATCTGGGAGGAGCAGGGGAGGAGCAGCAGCTGTAGTTTGCGTCACCTCCCCCCCACCCTCGGTTAGAAGTCGTCCTCCCCTCGCTCGATCACCCCCCGATTCAGCCCGATTCTGCCATACACCGCCGCAGCGCTTTTTCCAGCAACGGTTCTCGTACGCCTGACCCAGGGGTGTGTAGCGATTTGCGCCAGTGCTCTCAGAGCAGCCAGAGCGTTTGCACCCGTGCGGCACACCTTTCTTAGCTGGGGCATGTCCGCTGCTGTTTCGTGCGCTTCGCGTGTGGCTTATAGGCATGTGTATACGGGGGGATGATGGATCAGGATTCGGGGGGATGATGGGATGGTGGATTCTGCTCCGGCTGGTACCTGGGCCGTGCTGCCACGGCCCAGACGTGCCTAGGCGCCGACGCCTGGCCTTAGCAGTTGTTGCCGCCCCTCCCTCCCGCGGTTAGCGCGAAGGTAATCGATTTTGCTTGCCTGCGCCGTCGTCGTTCGTCCGTGTCGCGAGGGTGCGAAGTTCCTTTCCACGCTCAGGTACGAGATGCCACGACATCACGATAGCAAAGCAGTTCGGTCTGCGTCCCAGCCTTCGCTCAGCTCCGTGCTACGAGAGCAGGAGGAGTTCGGTCTGTGTCCCAGCCCTCTTTCTCCCTCTCACATACATCACATTCCTCCCTCCCTCCTTCCCCCCTTCCCCTCAGCCGAGTGCCCTGGACGAGGCACAGCACGTCATATTTGTCGCCGCCTTTAGCGTTCGCCGTCCAGTCGCCTATTATGGGGGGTAGTACGGGGAGGTGTGATGTGGTTTGGGAGGGCCTGGACTCCTTGCTTCGGTTCGACGCGTTCCGTCCGCTCTGTCGCGGGGGTCCCCTCGTACTGTACTGTACTTGTAGACTTGGTGCCCGTGCAGAGTTTGCGAGCCTCGCCGTTTAGCATAGCCACACGAGTTGACTGTGCTGACCGCCTCTGCTAGCCGCAGCGCCGCCATCAGCTGACAGGCCATACGCTTCATCGGCAGCGCAATCCAAAAAATCCCCCTCCCTCCCCTCTTCCTGCCATTGTGCCGTGTGCACGCCTGCATGTGCAACGTGTGCTTTTCTGGCTGTCTTGGCGCCCAGGCCGACCCGCAACATCCTGCGTGTTGCTGTGCCTCGCTCTTCGAGGATTCTGTGCAGCCTCCGAGTCGCCGCGCGCGAGACCTTCCCCGCCCCCGCCGCCCTCTAGGAGCACGCCCGCGCGCGAGAATGCTGCCACGGGGCACCGAATGGCCGAAGCCACCACAGCACCGCCGCGAGCCTGCTGAACTTCCTCCTGCCTGTCTTCGGTACTTGGCATACTTCTTCGTCCCAACCTTGGCCGGTGGCTAGTCCGTAGGTGACTACCTGCCAGACCACCCCAACCCAACCCGAAGACCCGACTTTCGGCTTGGGGGGGCGAGGGTATGGGCTCCATATCTGCTTTTTCGATGTTCCCCGACCCCCCCCCACTGGAAATGGAGGGCAAATTGAGGCCTTCGGGTTGGGTTGGGGTGGTTTGGCAGGTGGTGAGTAGGGAAACTAAAAATGGCATAAGCACAAAAACTCGGTGGTCCGCGCGGATTTCTCGGATCGGTGCTAGGGCCCCCTAGCGGTGCCTCCGGCGCCGCCCCTGGTGCGCTCAACGCGCTAGGGAGGGGGGCCCAGCGCTGGTCCAAGAAGTCCGCGCGGACCTCCGAGTTTTTGTGTTTATGCCATGTTCCGCTTCCCTGAGTCGGGCTCGCAATCCAAAACAAAACCCTCCCTCGGTCTCTGCCCTGATCCCCCCTTCCCCCCTGCCCCCTGCCTCGCGCGGCATTCCGCGAGAGGGGGAAAAGTGTGCGGCCAGATCCCCTCCCGTCGGTCGCGCGAGCGCGCTGGCGCGGGGCACGCACCGCGGGAGCTGGGCAGGGCCGCGATGCACCAGGACTGAGCCAGAAGTACCAGCCACCGAGGAGGAGGAGGAGGAGGAGGAGGAGGAGGAGGAGGAGGAGGGGGATGATGATGATGATGAGGAGGAGGAGGAGGAGGAGGAGATAGCGGTAGCGCAATATGGGCTAACGTTCAAACACTGGGCTGCGATAGCGCCAGAAACAATCAGAAACGACACCTAGCAATGTCAAGGCGGGTCGCCACCACCGCCAGGAAGAGGAGGACCTCACCGCCCAACCGCCCCCCGATCTCCCATAATTTCGAACAGCGGAACCTCAAGACTGACGAATCTTTCCTCGGCCTCCGATCTTCGATCCTCAGGAGGAGCTGGCGACCCCCTGGTGGTGACGCCCCTCCAGAGGAACAGAAGAAGAGACACCTGCATAAACATTCCTCCTCCTCCTCCTCCTCCTCCTCCTCCTCCACCTCCTCCTCCTCCTCCTCCTCCTCCTCCTCCTCCTCCTCCTCTAGACTTCCAGAGGTCTGCGCATAATTCTTGGATCGGCGCTGGCCCGCCCTCCCTGGCGCGCCGAGCGCGCAAGGGCGGCGCCAGAGGCGCCGCCAGAGGGGCCCGAGCGCCGATCCAAGGAATCTGCGTGGACCTCCAAAATCTTATGCGTGTGCAGCTGTCTCTTCTTTGCGGCGCGCAAAGGGGGGGGGCATGGGGGAGGGGGGCAGGGCGTCTCAGAAGGAGGCTGCCTCTCAGACGGCGCGGGCCCTGCGTCTGCAGACAGGGCCCGCGCCTTCCAGGAAGCGGCGCTGCTTCTGGGAAGCCTCCCCCCTTCCCCCCGACCCTCCCCTGCGCGTGGCTGCTCAGCAGGGCCCCCCCCCCCTGCTGGGGGGCCCCGCGCTGCTCTCCCAGACCCCCGACGTCATGATTTTTTCATGACGCGACCCCCAGAGGTCCGGACCCCTTCCCGGGGACCGGCTTTTCATCCTGAGTCGTTTTTTGACGGTCCTGAGGGCCGGTAAGGGCCCCTGGAGGCCGAAAATAGCGAAAAACCTCTCGTCATGATTTTTTCATGACTCGAGGGGGTCTGGGCTGCCGCGCGCAAGCAGTCGGCAGCACGTGCCGGCGAACCTCCAGCCCGCGCCTCCTCGGCGGACCCGGGCGGCCTCCTGTAGGATCGGGGCGCCGGCTCCGCACGGCTCCTTAGGGCCTACTCTCATATAGTGGGCCCTGGACACGACAGGGGGCCGCTTTTCTTCACCGGCTCCGTGTGGCCGTGTTTTTTTGTGCCGGTTCCGGCGCCGTTCTTTTTACCGGTTCCGTCGCCGTTTTTTTGACCGGTTCCGGCTCCGGCTCCAATCCTGGGGCCGCTTTTTTTTTGCCGTTTCTGGTCGCTTTGTTTTTTTGCCGCTTCCATTGTCAGGGGACATTTTTTGGAAACGGTGAAAAAACGGCCCTGCCATTTCCGGGGCCCACAAAGTGCCTACTGTATGCTCGTGCAAACTGTCAAAAGTACGACCTGGAGCTGCTGGCCGGGGCCTTCGGACACGCAGGGCGCGAGCGTCGCCGCGCGGCCGCGCCGGCGAGCCCAGCTGCTGCGTATACCCAGAAGTGCGTCCAGACGTGACTGCGCGCAGAGAACTCGCTCGTTCCGAGGATCCTTTCTGGCCTGCCTCGAGTGCCCTGCCTACGGTAGGTTCGCGCGGCGTCGGCGCACGCAAAAGTTTTTGACACCGCGTCGATCGTTCAACCTTGAACCGATCGCGGCCCCGATCGTTCAAGGTTGAATTCAGTCGGGTCCAATGGCGTTACAATGTCCGTCGGTGATTCCGCGTCACAGAATTCACCCTTGAACGCATTTGCCGACGTCGCTGGCGCGCCAACGCCGCATGAACCTACCGTACCCGAGTGCGAGCGGGCTCGCGAGCGTCGCGCGCCTCCCCACGGGCAAGCTCGGCGCCAGCGCGCCGCTAGGGCTGCCCGTGGGCCTTGCGGCCGCCTCCGCCCGACGCCCTGGCCGCGGGTCGGCGGCTTCTCGCCCTCCGGGCCGACGGCGTGTCCGACGGCGCGAGGTCCGTGCGCCTGTTCGGCCGCGCCCGCGAGGGGCTCCTCGTCGTGGGCGAGACGAGCTCGGGAGCGTCGAGAAGGTCTGGTTCAAGAAAGGTGACTTCGAAGGATGCTGGGGGGCCTCGGTAATTACGCTCTCTCTCTCTCGCTTTACACACACACGTATACATATATATATATATATATATATATATATAAAAATAAAAACAAACCGACGTTCCGGCCCTGCTCCGACACTTGCACAAGAGAACATATCCTGGTGTATACGGGATCCTGGTGTATACGTGTTTCGCTGCCTCCCCGGGAAAACGGATAAAAGAACATACATCACACCACCCCGACGTCGTCCCCGGCCCTCAAAAAGTCCTGGGATTGAGCAACAGCATGCCACTGGTACTGTGTATGATCCAGTTCCCGACATCGAAGGGTGGTTTCGACGGATGCTGGAACGCCTCAAGCTGTGGGGCCTCATGTGAGTAGGCGCTCAGGAGCGGCTAGGCAAGGGATTAAGGCCCCTGTCGGGGTTTTGAATATTACCGACGTCATACAGAATATTGTAAACATTTTCAAACGATTAAGAACATGTCGGATACGATTCATTGCACTGCGCTAGCAACTGCACTACACTGGACTAATCATTGCACTGCGCTAGCAACTAGACGGCGCCGATTCGTGCACTACGGTAACCCCTGCACTAACCACTGCCAACCACTGCGCTGTGCGAGCCAACGCCCCAACCACTGCACTGCACTGCTAGCCGCTGCCCTGGGGGACGCGCAGCTACAACAATAACAACACCAAACCGCCACGTGCCTCAACGGTTTCGCATGCGTTCAAGTAGTACGTGCATTGCAACACCCATCACGCATAAACTCAATCAAGCATCAAACACTATATTATATATTTCACTTACGCACTACACATAACACGTCCTCCTCATCCATCTCCTCCGACTGCATTAAGCACGCGCATGCTATGCGCTAGTGGCGTCACGGTGTCGCGCGAGTGGTGCGTCGAGTGTCGACGAAGGGGAATGGGGAGGAGGTGAGGGGAATAACGGTGAGGGAGGAGAAGGAGGCGTGGGAAACAAGTTTTTTGTGGTTCTGAGAAGAATGCGGCGTCGCCAGTGCTGAAACCGAATGGCAACTTTGAGTTCGTAAACGTAGGGCGAGGGTCTGATGAGACCCTCGCCCTACGTTTAGAAACTCGGGCCACACTGCGTTGCGCGTGGCCAACTACTCTTGCCCCTCCACTCCACCTTCCTCGGCCACTATCCCTTTCCATCGCCGTTTGGGTTCCAGTTCAAGGCTTGAGGCTTCGAGGGCACCCAGCTCGGTCGAGCCCTCCACCAGCAGCTGCACCAGACCGTGGCCATGCCGCCTCGCGCCACCCCGAAGACAGCACGCGAGCTCCGCCTAGAGGGCAAGGTCGTTAGGCTCAAGGCCAAGTTCGACAAGTGGCAGAAGTACAATGCGAAGCTCGCCGCCATCAGAGACAAGCGCGCCAAGTTGCAGAGAACGGCCCTCGCCAAGATCCTGAAGATCTCGGACAAAGCTCTGGCGCAGGACCTCGCCCTGTTCGCG